TTTTTTCCTTTTTTTTCTTTTTTTTTTTTCTCATTGTAAACACTTGAAAGACGGACCCCTGCGACTCAGCAGGGGGGAGCAGTGGCCCCGCTCCCGGCGTGGGGCAGAGTCCCCATCTCAACGCTGCCGGGGCCAGGGTGGAGATCTCCAAAAGGGAGATGGGAGAGAGGAGAAATTTCCTGTTTAGTCAGTGCAAAAAAACCGAGCAGAGCCCCCGGGCGAGTCCGGGTGGGAGGTGGGRGGGTTGCCGGTGAGAAATGCCGCGTGCTCCGTTTGGCCGGCTGTCCCCCGGCAGCTTTCCCCTTGCGCTTCGGGGAGAAAAGCCAAACATCATGGCAGGGTTTCGGCCGAGGGCGTCCCCGGGGCCTCCCTGGCGGGCAGAGCTCTCCTGGTGACCAGCGGCCGTGGAGGGGAGAGCAGGTCGCTCCGCTTTTCTCACACTGTCTTCTCCTGGATGTTTTCTTTTTGTTTTAAATCTTTTAAATTAAAAAAACAAAACAAAACAAAACAAAAAGCAGAAAAACAACAGAACAAATAAAAATAATAAAATAAAATAAAAACTGCGCCGTTGTCCCAAGTGGATTCAAGTTTCTGGGTTTTATTTTTGTCTTCTCGAGGAATTTAAAGTCAGCCCAAAACTCCAGGCGGGGCGGGGGGGACGGGGAGAGGAGGTACAGCAGGTATAGCAAGGTGCCCTGCAAAGGCAGAGAGAGACCATCCCGGGTGAGGAGCAGGAGCCCTGACTGTCACATCCCACCCTATCCCACCCCATCCTCCACTTCCAGCCCTGGATTTAAACCCGGCATGGGAATATCCCTTCTGAGCAGCCCACCACAGGCTCACCTTAGAGAGAAGTCAGCAAGCACGCCCGGCGGGTCAATCAGAAGGATGCTCTGGGCAAGATCTGTTCACTTCAAACCATGAGTCTATACAGCTGCAAGAGGAGAGCATGTTACCACCACGCTGCTGAGCCTTGGTGTCCCTTGCCTGTCCCCTTGCCACCCGTCTGCCTGTCCCCTCACGGTACCTTTTGTGATAAATGCAGAGGCAGGGCAGCCTGGCTATCGTGTCCCCCTGCAGCAGCTCCTCCAAGCAGATCACGCACTCGCCGGCGTCCTTGGTCAGCACGTCATCTGGGAGGGGAGGACAGGGCAGCAGTGAGACGGGGACACCACAGCATTCCTCTCCCTGGGATGGAGGGGAACCCAGGGCACTGCTGCAGAGGCAGCCGGGATGGGGTGGAATGGCAACAGCCCTGGAAAACATTGGCAGGGGGCTCATGTGGAGGCACAGAGGGGACATGGGTCTGGAGCATCCAGAGCAAAGAGAGCCCCTACCCCTGTCTTCAAAAAAAATCCCCAAAGATTAGGGGGTGAGCATCACTCCCACACCAATGGTCAGCAGAGAGCTGGGAGATGCCAGTGCTTGCAGCTCAGAGCTAAGCCTCATGAGCCTCTCTGCCACCGAAGGGGGAGGAAGGCAACAACCCGCTGGGAGGGAAAACCCAGGAGCGCTCTCGCCAGGCAGGGCCAGCAGAGCTCCCTCCGGCACAGAGGGGTCAGGAGGGCCCTCCCCGGGATAGGGAGCTGTGTTACAGAGGAGCCTGGAAGCAAAAGCTGCAGGGTTGAGTCATGACAGGGGAGCGGAGCGGAGCAGGGACCGGGAGCTGCACCATCCCACCGGAGCGCAGCCCTCTTGGGAAGCCCAGCCAGCAGCAAACGTCTCTCCAGCCTGCCCGGAGCCATCCCAGCGTGGCAGGACGCCGTGTCCCCCACACAGCCCGGCCCTTACCGTTGTAGGAGAGGCGAGGTTTGCTCAGACACATGATAAAGTGCATTTCCATCTCATCAGAAGCCACAGATTTGGAGCAAATGGGGCACTTGAAACCTGGAAGGAGAGCAGAGAGATGAGCCCTTAGYGAGAGCAGCAGCAGGAGTCCACTCCGCATCCCGGGGAATCCCTGGGGCCATGGYGGGGCATGGCAGCGGGCAGTCCCTCACCTGCCGCCTGCATGGTGACCCTCACCCCACACAGCACCCCCTGGGCACCCACTCATCCTGTGCCGGCCACCAGCAGTGCCGGTGTGGGGACAGCCACCGGACAGGGCACAGCCGACGAGCTGGTGCGCTGCTCGTCCCCGTGCCCGCCGCGCAGAGGGCACGGACAGCGTGCCAAGGCAGCGCACACGTGGCCATCAGCTGCTGCCAGGCCTTAAAGGGCGAGCAGCAGCCTGGGGCACGCAGCACCCAGCCACTGGCAAGTGCAGGGGCACGTCCCCATGCCTGAACAGTGCTGTCGCTGCTGCTGGAGCCCAGCACTGCAAGGCTGAGACAGTAAAGCTGCAAGGAAGGAGTTTTTTGGTACAGCTGCAGCAGGGGACTGTAGATCAGAGCCTCAGATACAAATGACTGCTTTATCCAGCTTTTTGCAGGAGTGAAATGGGTGCTAACCCTTCTGATGCCAGCCTGCACCCCAGGAGCAGGAGGACCCTGCAGGCTGATRAGCCAGCTTGACCTTGGCCCTGCCTGGTGACTTGGGTTCTTGGGTTCTAGATGGGATGCCCAGATCTGCTCCGCAACCCTGCTTGGGCTGGTGCCAGGGTGTCACCAGTGTCATCACCTGCTCGAGCCCTGCAGACCCCCACAGCATTGTCCCCAGCCCCACCGAGTGAGGCTGCCCCAAATTCAATCTGTAAGCCCAAAATTCACAAGGAGCAGAACCCCAAGCAGCCCTGTAGGTCACCCATCTGGGACTCCCTGCCCTTCCACTGCAGCCAGCTTGAGGCCATGTGGTTTGTCACTGCCCAGCAGAGCAGTGCAGCTCGAGCTGAACACGCGCGTGCCACCACCACGGGTTTGCACCAGAATATCCAGCAATTCCCTGCCTGCAGAGAGGGAGAGGGTAATTTAAGGATCTGACTTCTAAAAGCAGATCAGGTTTGACTGCAGTGCTGCTTAAGAGCTTTCTTCATATATATGCAAAGGTTGCTCAGGAAAGAAAAGGAATATACACAAATTATCTAAGGATGAATCAGGTTCTTGTTTGCCACCATGTGGATGTGGACAGGGCTTTTTTTTTTACTTCTTGTAAGGGAGAAAATATAGGGTGGCTTTAAGGAGAGACAGCTCAGACCTCTGCTGTGCAAACAGCCCCAGTAACTGCTCAACACCCTAGCGCTCATTAGCAGCAGCGATACAGTTTACTTCCCMGGTCCTTGGATCCTGTCTCTCCAGAGTGTGGTTATTTCCCAGGATGGTGCAGCAAGGATGAGCACTATGGTTGGTACGGGACTGGCTTTAAAAGGACCTGTTAAAAGAAGGAGGCCTCAAGCCCAGAGGTCTGTCCTGCTGGCCTGCAGCATTGTCACCATGGAACACATCCCTGCCCCAGCCTGGTCGAGCCTTGCACCAAGCCCCAGGCCATAGGGCAGTGCCGCAGCCAGGGCCTCGTGGGCGGCAGCACCGATCTGCCTTCTCCTCTCCAGCCTAATTTTACTCCTGACCGATTTATACCTTGTGGCAGCCGTGCCCATTAGCTGAAGTAGCTGGTTTTTTCCTCCTCCCAAGTGTTTACCCGCCCGRTGTATTTATAGCGCACATAGCTCGGATAGCCTCCCAGCCCGCCTGCTGCAAGAGCCGAGCGTCCTCCCCTTGTGAGACACCCTCCCGGTGCCCTGCTCCCCTGGCAGCCCGCCTGCCCTRTCCCTGTCCCCGTCCCTGCCTGAACTGATCCCGCCCGCAGCCCATGGTCTGCCAGCGCCAGGGCACCGGGCCCCACCGGGGCAGCTCTGGGGACTGCTTTCCAGCRGCAACGGCTGTGAAGGGCTCCCTTTGGAAAAGGCATTTCTTCTGCGAACTCTGTGTCRGGGCAAGGCGTTTGTACGGGTTCAGTACAGCTCCCTGCGCAGCGTGCGGGCAGACCTCGTTTCCTCTGGTCCCCCCTTTTCTGTGCTAATGTGTTATTTTAAACAGCTGTCCCAGATCTGCCAGCTCCGGCAGCTCCCGAAGGGATTGTATGAGACGTGCAACCGATGGAAAGGGAAAAGGGCCCGGATGGAAGTGCCTGGTSTGCGGCTGCCAGGGCACGGCCGCCAGCGAAGCAGCAGGGCCAGGCAAAGAGCGGGGCCCTTTGCAGGCTCCAGCGAGCGGCTGTCGCTGTATCTCCAGGCCTCTCTGCTAGCTGGGATAGCTTTAGCACGGTTATAAATAGCCGGCATGAACACTCCCCCTGCTCCTCGCTGCTCCCTGGGCAGCTGGCTGGGGCACCGGGACTCCTGACACCGCCACGTCCCCCTGGCAAGGACGTGGGGACTCTGGGCGGACAGAGGGGCCCAGGCTCAAGTCCCAGCACGTATRTGGCATCCTCCAGCCAGACGGGTCTGGGGGCTGAGCCAAGTGCAGAAGCACACACATACTTTTCTGGCTCTGCATTTCACAAGATGGAGGGGCAGGGAAAAGGGAAAGATGAACGTGCAGTTGCGTAAATTCCCCAGTTTGAGCAGGAGCGAGGAGCCAGTGGGTGTGGAAAGGCCCCCAGGGCGGGGGGCTGCCCCATACCCAGCTGTCGGCACAAATACTTGACATTGCAAAAGCTTGTGTGTTTCCCTGCAGGGCAGGCACAGGAGCCCACCACCAGCGGGAAAGGGGAGGCAGAGAAGGGATGAACTCCCTCACCCCTTCTCCAGGTGACCTTTGGCTGAAGGTGACAGGCGCAGAACCAGTGAGGCCAGGGAACAGCCAGCACTCAACAGCGGCAGGCACCAARCCGCCTTGGAACATCCCTTCATAGCTCAGGCAGGAGCCTGTCCCGTAGATGAAAGAGCTGCTCTCCACATGGCCAGCCCCCTCCGGGCCATGGTATTTTCCACATTCCCCGAAATCCCCGTTAATTTATCCTGCCTAAGCTGCCAGCCGGAGCAACGCAGGAGATTACATTTTGACAGCTGCTCATGGAAAATTCAGCTCCCTCCCTCCTCCTCGAGCCCTTTCCATCCTCCTCCCACATACCTAAAAAAAAAATGAGAGGAAGGGCCCAGCTATTTCTCCTTGCCCGGGCCTCCCACATCCATGGGGAGGCCCAGGGGCTGCTCCAGGGAAAGGCCATGGATGTTGCATCTGGGGCAGCTGAAGCATGGYACATTAAACCTGAAGCTGGCACTGTCACCTCATGCAGAGATGTGTGGGSAGGTATCAAGTAAGTGAAGAAGAGGAGGGTATACAGGAAGGGGGCTGGCCTGGAAAGGCAGGTTCAGGTCAAGACCTGGACTCTTGCATCTTGCAGGAGACTTTGAGAAAATCAAGGGCTTTCCAGGGCTGCAAGACACAGGCTGGCAGGTGATCTGATCTCTCCAATGGCTTGGTCTAGAAACCAGGAACAAGTGGCGCTGGTGCTCTCCAGGGGCTACTGCCCTCTGAGTATTTTTAGGAAGGTTACATGGTTAATTTTAGAGAGTTGGGCAAAGTAGAGCTGGGAACCTCTGAAAACCTCCACCCAATCCTATGAAAGCTGAAAGAGCCTGGKGGTTAACCCTCACAGTGCTAAAAGCACTGCCACAGAACTGCAGGGAATTTAGTGGTGGTGGGAGGGTTGAGACACCTTTCCAACCCATTTCTAAGTATCCCAAACAGAGCTGATTCTGGAGCTGGGATAAGAAATTCCCATCGCTTGTGACTACTGAGCACTACAACAGGGTCAACCATACCACATCCTGCGAGTGGAAGCGGCTGCTCCCCTTGGGGATGGGTGRGACCATGTTCATGGGAGCTGCAAGCCTGTCCCAGATCCCAGGGATAGGCATGTGCCATGTCTACCTTCACCTGCCAAACCCTCCTCCAGCTGGGTGTGCCTCCAGGCAGATTGCTTACAGGCCATGGTGCCATCAGGAGTAGCCCCAACAGTAGGACACCCTGTCACTGACAGGGTGAGAGCAGCAGCTTTTCTGCTGCACAGCCCTTTTTCCTCCCTGCACAGCAATGGGAGGAAGACACTGGTGGGGATGATGTGCCCTGAGGGCAGGAAGAAGCAACAGTGCAGGCACAATGCCAGCAACCCATCCCATAAGTGTTCACTAATGGGATCCCTGGTTGCCCAGTCYCCCGCTACTGCCATGGGATAAACCAGGAGCCCTGTGAGTGGGAGTAGCAACACAAACACCCCAAAATGTGCTTGGTCCAGGAGGAGTCCCTTCTCTGGTGCCCAGCCACCTCAAAGGACAGCTAAAGAGCCAGGGAGCTTGGGGCAAGCCCCAGGCTGCCTGATGATCATGGAGGATTTGGAAACCTCAGCTGCATAGCCCATCTCCACGTCTCTAGAGAGCGTCCTGGGCTCCCAGCCAAGGGAGCTGGCTTGTACCAGGTGAGGATGCATCCAAGCATGAGATAAAACCAGGGAATATTTGGTCCAAGCATGCTCGTCCTTGCTGAGTAAACCATGAGCATCCCACCTTCCCCTATRGCTTCCCTAACACTGCCAGCTGAATTAGCACCAGGTGGAAGCTGGAACACATAGATCATCTTGAAAAAAACTGGGCTAGTGATTGAAGAGGAGGGAAAGACTGAAAGACCAGTTGGTCAATCTGAAGCATGTGGGGTTGGGTGAGGCAAAGGGACTCCAAGTCTTTCCCTTACCCCTCCAGGACTCCAGCACAGCCCCAGGAGAGAAGAAGGAATCAGGGAGGAGCTGTCCTCTGTGTCAGGCAGGTGAAGGAAATCTAAGAACCAAGATATTCAGACCCAACATCTCCTGGAAAATAAATTCCCTACAGTCTTAAAACAATCTTGTTTTTATTAAAGCAACAGTCACAGGAGATGGCCATTGGAGATGGCAAATGGATGCACAGAGCACCTCTCCAGCACATTGGGGCAAACAGGGACCTGGCAGCTGAGGAC